TAGTTGTCTCCAGTTACTCTGTCGATGTACGCTAGGCTTTAGACAAACTGAGCTCCAGAAGGATGACATCTGAGGAGGCTTTATCACAGATTTTTAACTGGGATAATGATGTAGAGGAAGAGACTTCAGAAACAGAGGATTTTTCAGAGACAGAGGACAACGTTATTGCTGATCCAGATTGTCAATTTTCCTACGATAAGGAGGATTCAGAGGACGAGGAAAGAGGAAGGGAGGACGGACGGAAGGTAGGAAGGAAAGAAGGAAGGGAGGAAGAGAAAAGAAGGGAATAGATGAGGATGAACAGAGAGAAGGAAAACAGGATGAGAAAAAGGAAGAAGAAAGCATGGCAGGAGGAAAGAATTGTCATTTTGACCCGAGAGGAGGACAAGAGGATTAGACTAAATATTTCTTAAATATAGCGTTGGAATTAAACATTTATTGTATGTCACTTTTCTAAATATTTATATAACCTAAAATAAAGTTGTTATTGGTTTAACCTGTTTTCTTGACTGTTTTGAGTGCATTTACACAGTACGGGTCAAAATGACCCGCAACATAATCAATGTCATTTTTTTTCAACATAATACAAGGGTTAACCCAACACTGTACGTAAACATGCACAACAAACCCATCTGTATCGGACAAGGTTCAGAAATGTCTTTTTTTGAGACAATCCATTTGTTTTTGGTTCCTCATCTCGACGTGGAGAAGCAGCGACTCTAGAAATTCTGTCCATAAAGGCAGAGAACAGAATCAGTGACAAAGGTCAGCCCTGGTGGTCTCTCCCTATGGACCAACACCATGAGTTCTATATTTTTTGTGTATTACTAGTAGTAAGTAAGTAAGTAAGTAAGTAATATTTATTTATATACCGCCTTTCACTGCAGATCTGAGTCTCAAAGCGGTTTACATTTGTTAATTTTTGGGCATTTGTCTCTCACTCCACACAGAGATGGGAGCGGGGTCACCAGTACAGGAGGCGCATGCCAGAACTATTGGACATATTTTTAGTGGTAGGGGAAACCGGAGTACCCGGAGGAAACCTACGCAGACACGGGGAGAACATGCAAACTCCACTCAGAAAGGCCCTGGTTCGACTGGGATTCGAACCCAGGACTTTCTTGCTGAGAGGCGAGAGTGCTATCCACTCAGCCACCGTGCCGCTACTGTTAACGACACTAACGACACTACTGTTGTGATTGAGGGCTGTACGAGAATACGTTGAAATAAATTGGTGGAGGCCAACACCGGGAACAGGTCTGACTTACTGCTGATGGGAACCAAGCTCTGGCTCCAGACCCCAGACTTCCAGAGAAGCCCCCACAGCACACCAGTGGAACACGGCCCAACGCCTTCTCCAAATCCACAAAGCACAGCTGCAGTTCTCCAGGTCAAGGATGGATGTTAATAGGTAGTAGTAGTAGTTGCAGTAGTAGCAGTAGTAGTAGTGGTAGTTGTAGCAGCAGTAGCAGTAGTAGCAGTAGTAGTTGCAGTAGTAGTAGTAGCAGTAGTAGTGATAGTAGTAGCAGCAGTAGTGGTAGTAGTAGCAGCAGTAGTAGTAGTAGCAGTAGTAGTAGTAGCAGTAGCAGTAGTAGCAGTAGTAGTGGCAGTAGTAGTAGCAGCAGTAGTAGTAGTAGTAGTAGCGGTTGTAGCAGTAGTAGTAGCAGTAGCAGTAGCAGTAGTAGTAGCAGTAGTAGTAGTAGTAGCAGCAGCAGTAGCAGTAGTAGTAGCAGCAGCAGCAGTAGTAGTAGCAGTAGTAGTAGTAGCAGTAGCAGCAGTAGTAGCAGTAGTAGTAGCAGCAGCAGCAGTAGTAGTAGCAGCAGCAGTAGCAGCAGCAGTAGCAGTAGGTTACAACACAGGGGAAAACAGGAAGTCAAAGTCAAACTAAAACCAAGCACTTTTCAATGGGAAAAGACCGCATTTGGTTTACTTTCTTTTGTTTATGTGAGGACTTTGATTACATGTGCAGAAGCTCATCCCGCTCACTGCTTTCTCCTTCACTTTAAGTAACGGACTCGTGAAGGTTAGAGCTGGGAACGCATAAAATATATGCTTAGTGATAAAATCTATAGAAACTAACCTCTTTCACATACATGTATTTTTGGCTCCCGTCACGTCTTCAGATCTGCTTTCAAACAGCCAATCAGCTCAGCGTCAGGTAGGGCTCTTGCACAAAGGTTTAAGATGACGTAGGATAAGATAGGCGTCTTTGAGGGTCCAAAAAGGCGCTATTTTAAACCGATGTATTATTATTATTATTATTGATCTCACACTGGAGAAATTATGTGTCACGTGCTGATTTGAATGAGGACCAAAAATGGAGGAATGCCAAAATAAAAGGAATTTAATGATGAAAATATAAAAGCACAGGGAACACGTGACAGGGAACACGTGACTGGGAACACGTGACTGGGAACACGTGACAGGGAACACGTGACAGGGAACACGTGACTGGGAACACGTGACTGGGAACACGTGACTGGGAACACGTGACTGGGAACACGTGACTGGGAACACGTGACTGGGAACACGTGACTGGGAACACGTGACAGGGAACACGTGACAGGGAACACGTGACTGGGAACACGTGACTGGGAACACGTGACTGGGAACACGTGACTGGGAACACGTGACTGGGAACACGTGACAGGGAACACGTGACAGGGAACACGTGACTGGGAACACGTGACTGGGAACACGTGACTGGGAACACGTGACTGGGAACACGTGACTGGGAACACGTGACTGGGAACACGTGACTGGGAACACGTGACTGGGAACACGTGACTGGGTACACGTGACTGGGAACACGTGACTGGGAACACGTGACTGGGAACACGTGACTGGGAACACGTGACTGGGAACACGTGACTGGGAACACGTGACTGGGAACACGTGACTGGGAACACGTGACTGGGAACACGTGACTGGGAACACGTGACTGGGAACACGTGACTGGGAACACGTGACTGGGAACACGTGACTGGGAACACGTGACTGGGAACACGTGACCGGGAACACGTGACCGGGAACACGTGACTGGGTACACGTGACTGGGAACACGTGACTGGGAACACGTGACTGGGAACACGTGACTGGGAACACGTGACTGGGAACACGTGACTGGGAACACGTGACTGGGAACACGTGACTGGGAACACGCGACCGGGGACAGGACAGAACAAATGTTGACAAGACAATGGAGCAGCCACAAGAGGAGAGAAGCACAGGGTACATACAGACACAGACACAGGTGAAACACATCAGGGCGGGGCAGACAATCAACACAGGGGAAAACAGGAAGTCAAAGTCAAACTAAAACCAAACCACAGAGAACAGATGTCAAAATAAAACCAAAGTCCAAAGTAACAAAATCCACAGCATGACATTATGTCACATTTGGCACAGGTAGAATGCAAGGGCTTTCCAATAAGAGATAAAATGGAAATGGTCTGATTTGTTCAAGACATTTTATTTGATATGACTATTCAACCACAAAAGTATCATTTAGGGAGAAAAGCGCGACTCTCCAGTTTTGAGCTAAAAACAGGTTTGAATAGATGTAAGTTGTCGGTAGTAGTTTTCTGAGGCAGTAACCGTTGTGCTGCCATTTCAACATCCTTTCTAAGCTCTTCCTCTCCTTCCTTTTCATTGCAGAGCACATGCAGTTCTTCCCGGCTGCAGCTCAGGCCTGTGTCCACTGAGAGGCGAGCCGCTTCATAAACGGTCATGCATGTTAACTCGGCTGTACATGGGTGAAATGAGCCGTGGAGGCGGATGTTAAGTGACTTCAAAAGGCACTTTCACCCCTCGGCCGGAGCAGGTGGGAGAGGAATGTGGCCCTTGCAGTTTAGGGACAGAGATTAGGCTCAGAACAAGTGATAAAAAGTGTCCTGCTGTGAGCACATATGCAGCTTATCAGAGTGTGTGAGGCCTTCTGGGAGCTCCCTGTTCTTTACTGGAGAGATATGGACCACAGCCACGTTCAGAGCGAGATCCATTGGTGAAATCATGAAATCACACTAAAGTACAACTGAGAATGTCAAGTAAGAACGTAAGGTTTCTTTGACAATAACTACAGACATTTATAAATAAGCATCTGTTTAATCTTGTACAATAGTGCCACGATAATAGACTTGTTCAAACAAACTTCTGCTTTAATCAAAATCATTTGGGTTTTCTCCTGGTGTATGTTTTAATATGCGTTTACTCTGCATTCCTTTACATGATTATAAGTGAGAGAGAGAGTGTGTACCTTTCCGGAGGATCCACTGTGGTCTCCAATAACATCGCTTCATGAGATGTTCAAATGATAAATATTAGCCAGGAACAAATGTTAATATCAACACTTTATCACGGGAGAAAATGTCTCGTGTGGCTTCACAACAGACGCCAGGACTTTCAGATCCATTCACACCTCCAGCTCCTCCGGGGACCGTGGAGGGTCCAGCTGAGAGACAGTCCCTGTGAGTCCTGGTCTTCAGCCTCTGACCTGAACCACCTCAGCTGTTTCATCTCGTCATAAAGGAGCAACAGCTCTACTCCAAGCTCCTCCCGTGTGACTGACCGCAGATCGACACCAAGTCAGAGTGCGTCTGTCGTAGAACGAGCGCCTCAGAACGTACGCGGCTAATATTACAACAATATTACAACGACTTCTTGGTGTAAGGTGAGGGTCAGTTTTGCACCACGGAAATCAATTCAACTTATACTCGTACAGCCCTAAATCACAAAAGTAGTCATCTCAGAGGACTTAAAACCGTTAAAATTGTCAACACAGATCAGAGAATCAAACAGTTCAAACAGAGAATATAGAACACATATTGGATCACAGAGAGAGACCATCACAGTCCTTCAGACTCCTGCATCAGAGGAAAGACTCTAAAACCTAACATACCTAACATTTAAATAATGTCGGAAACCTTTGGTAATCCTTGGTAACCACAACACCTCAAACACAAATGCTTCTGGAGAACAGCGTCAAGTTTGTTTTGTGACTAATGAACACGTGTCTTCACCGTGAGGGCGTTCCAGACCGTGCCTAAAGTATACGTCTTAACTGTGTACGTCTCATTCTTCAGGCGCGGCCATCAAACCTGTGTCTGAGCTTTTAGCCGCAGACAGCAGCCATATGTCGGCAGTCAGTCTGGAGGCGGCGATGGCAGGTAGGATGTGTGAGAGCGGCGGCAGCGGCGGCGGCGTCATCAGGAACAAGCGCTTTGTTCGCCCGCTCGCTCCATCACCCGCTCTGCAAATGGAGACGCCGCGCAATTTTCACTTATGAATCTACTGCAAAAGCAAATCACACACGCCGCAAAACCAGCGCAGGTCGTGGACTCATTTGTTATTCCCTAATGGGCCTCGAGTCACCGGGAACAATGACAGCTGCAGCAGGAAGACGGAAACACAAAGGATACGCAGATATATGTAGTAGTAAAGGATACGCAGATATATGTAGTAGTAAAGGATACGCAGATATATGTAGTAGTAAAGGATACGCAGATATATGTAGTAAAGGATACGCAGATATATGTAGTAGTAAAGGATACGCAGATATATGTAGTAGTAAAGGATACGCAGATATATGTAGTAGTAAAGGATACGCAGATATATGTAGTAGTAAAGGATACGCAGATATATGTAGTAGTAGTAAAGGATACGCAGATATATGTAGTAGTAAAGGATACGCAGATATATGTAGTAGTAAAGGATACGCAGATATATGTAGTAGTAAAGGATACGCAGATATATGTAGTAGTAGTAGTAAAGGATACGCAGATATATGTAGTAGTAAAGGATACGCAGATATATGTAGTAGTAGTAAAGGATACACAGATATGTGTAGTAGTAGTAAAGGATACACAGATATGTGTAGTAGATGTGATAGTAGTAGTAGAATCTGTAGCATGCAGTATCCGTATCTAGAAGAATCTGGAATGTAGTAGCAGCAGCAGTAAGAGTAGTAGCAGTAGCAGTAGTAGTAGCAGTAGTAGCAGTAGCAGTAGTAGTAGCAGTAGTAGCAGTAGTAGTAGTAGTAGCAGCAGCAGTAGCAGTAGCAGTAGTAGTAGTAGTAGCAGCAGTAGCAGTAGTAGTAGTAGTAGCAGCAGTAGCAGTGGCAGTAGTAGCAGCAGCAGTAAGAGTAGTAGCAGTAGCAGTAGTAGTAGCAGTAGTAGCAGTAAGAGTAGTAGCAGTAGCAGCAGTAGCAGTAGTAGTAGTAGTAGCAGCAGTAGCAGTAGCAGTAGTAGTAGTAGTAGCAGCAGTAGTAGTAGTAGTAGCAGCAGTAGCAGTGGCAGTAGTAGCAGTAGCAGTAGCAGTAGTAGTAGCAGCAGTAGCAGTAGTAGCAGTAGTAAACTGCAAAAAGATTGAAATGTCCACATGACATTCTGAAATGAACTGAGTACCGTGGTGTGGTAAGACCAGGCTTCAGTCCCAGCGAGTCTCAGTGAGTCCCAGCGAGTCCCAGCGAGTCTCAGTGAGTCCCAGCGAGTCCCAGCGAGTCTCAGCGAGTCTCAGCGAGTCTCAGTGAGTCCCAGCGAGTCCCAGCGAGTCTCAGCGAGTCTCAGCGAGTCTCAGTGAGTCTCAGCGCAGTACATGTATGGTTCATTTCCCCGTGTTCGTAGGAGCCATGACAACAACAGTGGGAGGCAGAAATATTGAAATATATATTAAAGAATTATTTCTCGATGGAAAATAGCGACAACAAAAGTAATAAAAAAGCAATAATGGAAGCGAGAAAAGCCACTCAGAACAAATCCACGTTTATGAGACTCTGGTTCAGCGGCGGGAAAAATGTGACAATATTCAATTACCAAAGAGACGCGCGGAATTAGTCTCCATTCCAGGCCTGAAAAACACAGCCACGATATCCACGATTGATTATGTCAATGTCAATGTCAATTTTATTTATATAGCACACTTAAAACAGCCACAGCCGCCCAAAGTGCTGTACAACAAACATTATAAAATACAATTGAAAAGTAAATACAATTGAAGAGTAAAACAGTCACAAAATATACAACATGAGACAATAATAATAAAATACATGGGATCTGCTCAGCTTGTGTTGAAGGCCAAAGCAAAAAAATGGGTTTTCAACAACGACTTAAAAACATGAATGGACTGGGCCATTTTGACATTCAGCGGAAGGCTGTTCCAGAGTCTCGGAGCCGCTACGGCAAAAGCCCGGTCTCCTCTGGTTTTATGCTTCGCTTTCGGCACCTCCAGAGTCATTTGGTTGGAGGATCTCAATGTACGACCTGGATCACGGGTCAACAAAAGCTCCGAAAGGTAAGATGGAGCCAACCCATTCAAGCATTTAAAAACCATCAACAGTATCTTGAATTGAATCCTAAAACTGACTGGAAGCCAGTGCAGAGAGGCCAACACAGGAGTTATGTGCTCACGTTTCCTTGTTCCTGTGAGCAAACGCGCCGCTGCGTTTTGAACCAACTGCAGACGACGAATGGACTTTTGATCGAGCCCACAGTACAGAGAGTTACAATAATCTAAGCGACACGTAATAAAAGCATGAATGACACGCTCCAAGTCACCATGAGGCAAATAGGGTTTGATTTTGCTGAGCAAACGCAGCTGAAAAAAGCTATTTTTGACGACTGAACTTATTTGTCTGTCAAATTTAAACGAACTGTCCAAAACAACCCCAAGATTCCTAGCAGACTCGTGACGATAAATATTCAAAGGACCTAGAACAGTGGCATCACATGAGTTACCAAATACAACAATTTCAGTTTTGGAGTCATTAAGCTTTAAACAATTTTGAGCCATCCAGTCCTTCACTTCCTGTAAGCAATCAAACAAAACTTGAACATTGTTTGAGCCTGCCTTCAAAAGGCAGATAAATTTGCAGATCATCTGCAAAACAATGAAAGTCAATTTTATATTTTCTAAAAATGGACCCAATGGGCAGCATATACATTGAAAACAATAGGGGGCCCAAAATGGAGCCCTGCGGCACACCACAGCTTAGTGGGGTAGCTCCAGAAGCGTAAGGACCCAGGTGGACGGCAAAAGATCGATTTTCAAGGTACGATCTAAACCAACTTAAGGCAGTACCTATAATGCCAACATGATTTTTGAGGCGTGAAAGCAATATTTCATGGTTGACAGTGTCAAATGCTGCAGTTAAATCTAAAAGCACTAAAACAGTGGAGCAGCCTGAATCAACAGTTAAAATAAGGTCATTAAAAACTCTTAAGAGTGCAGTCTCAGTGCTGTGACGTAACTTAAAGCCAGATTGAAATTTTTCTAAAATGCCATTTGCATCCAGATAAGTTTGTATTTGTGCAAAAACCAGTTTTTCCAAGATTTTTGATAAGAAAGGCAATTTAGAAATTGGTCTGTAGTTTGCCAGGACTTCAGAGTCAAGGTTTTGCTTCTTAAAGGTCCTATATCACGCTTTTCTTCATGTTTCACACTCAATCCTATACACATGTGTGATATTAATGTGTATGATACACCACACAACAATCAAAGCTTGTGAGATTAGAGCCATCTCTTGTATAGAGGTGACGTCACCTCGACTCAAACGAGCTGATCCAGAAGAGAGTCTGCTCCTCTGCCTGTGAGCCCGCCTCCCCCCGCCCGTACGGTGACGTAGCATCACGCTTTTGTCGTTTATCACCTGTACTTAGTAATTTCATACATAAGAATAAACTTTTTCCAACAATGACAATCCGTCACATCGAGCCCTATGTCCTCGATGCACAATCAGACCCTAGTTATTTAGTTTACAGAAGTATACAGCGAGTTAGCGTCACTACTTACAGATCGAGGGGGTCCGAGTATCGTCTTTTACCGTGGGAATAACGTGTTTCCAGATCAGCCTTTGAGTAAGTCCAGTTCCATTGTCCCTGTAGTTCTGGAACAGTCTCAGTGAAGTGTCGCAGATGAACCGGTTTATAATAGATCCATGAGATGAACAGATGAAAAAAGTCGAGCCGCTTTCTTCCTCTTCGGGCCAAATAGTGTGTCACATATTTACACCCATAACACACTTCATTCAAGTTGACGTGATCCTAACACTTTTAGTTGCTGACAAAAGCATAAAAACAGCAGCTCTATGTGGTGTCCGCGAGACCAGACCACAGACGCTGGACTCGGGAGCCGGAGCCTGTGCGCTCTGATTCGCTGTTTTGATCCGTCAATCACCTCCCGCCGGCTTTTAATTTATTTTTATTTTTATTATTTTTGACAAAAAACAGCATACTAATTGTGTATTGTTTACCCCGTTTTGAAAAAAGTATTTAACAACTATTTTAAATACAAAGCAAACGGGGTCATGCGCGTCATGCGCGTCATCAGTGTGGTTTTTGTCACTGAAGTGGACCCGAGCGTTTCTGTGCCTCACGCTGGGGAAGGAGACAGATTGCTCTCTTACAAAAGATTGACAGAATCAATGAATAAACTACTGTGGGCTTGTGTATGAAGGCCAAATAGCATTGTAATCATGTTTAAAGCAGAGAAAAGTCAAAAACCGTGATATGGGCCCTTTAAGCAGAGGCTGAACAACAGCATGTTTAAAGGAACTTGGAACGCAGCCTGATGTCAGTGATGAATTTATAATTGCCAGTATATGAGGCCCAATCGCGCCCAAAGCATCTTTGAGCAGTTTAGGAGGGAGACAATCGAGCGGACAATTAGAAGCTCTTAATTTATGCATAACATCAGAAAGGTCGCTAAGGGACACAGGTTCAAAATGCTCAAAAACCACAGAACACACAGAAGTTAGAGGGATCAACCACTTTGAAAGAAGAGGTTGAGTCCCTAATAGCAGTTATCTTGTCAACAAAAAATGTCAGAAAATGTTCACACAATGTTTGTGAATGTACAGCATAGTCTGAGTCAATAGGATTCACAAGTCTATTTAAGACATTAAACAGAACTTGGGGTCTGTTACGATTTGTTGAAATCAAGTTTGACATGTACTCAGCTTTAGCACACTTCACAGCTTTCTGATAATTTGATAAACAGTCTTGCAAAAAGCCCAAAGAAACGTGAAGCCTGTCCTTTTTCCACCTCCTCTCTGCGCGTCTACATTCACGCCTAAGAGCACGAGTAGAGTCATTCAACCATGGCTCAGACACAGACTTAGATTTAACCATTTTCAAAGGAGCAAGCAGGTCTAAAATGGAGGAGCATGTAGAATTAAACATGCTAGTGGCCTCTTCAACAGAACAAGGTGATAAGTCCAGTGTGGGCACAAGATGAGTAAAAGCATTTGAGAATTCTTCTGCTGTCGACTGGCTCATGACGCGCCGCATACGC